TAGATTCCCCATTACAAGCAGAACACAGACATCGATTCCACACCCTTCTGCTCCCCTCCTGGGTATGAGAAACACACACGCCTGCAAACAGAGTTATGTCTCGGTAGGTATATCACGCATCAAGTGGATCTGTAAGCTTTGTATGTGTGGGTTTGTGTGTGCGTGTGGCGTTATAAAGTTATATCATAAAATCTTCCCACCTCAGGCTGAGTTCAATAACAAATAACCAAATAAAAGAAAGAAAATAAAACCCTCAAAGGTGGAAGAAATGGATCTTGAATGCATTTGTGTGTGGGTGGCTGTCTCTCTCTCTGTGATTCTGCCTGTTTCAATGTTTAATTTGAGCGTGTAAAATTAAAACAGATCCTCCTTGGGCTAGAAAACAGAAATAGAAAAGGAGAGAAAGCACATATTGGAGAGGAATGGGGGGAGGAAGATGGAGGAAAATAGAAAAAAAGAGGGAAGGAGAATTGTCTCCACCTTGAGCTCTTCCTTCCTCTCTTCCTCAGTATATCCTGGTGTATCACTAGGTAGCATCCTGAGGCTCGGTGATGGCAGATTGCATTAGAGATATGGGCCTGATATTTCATCTAGCCTTTATTACATTTAGTTCACATCAATCGGTTGGCAGCCTGGAGGTAAGAGCTATTTGGCACACGACTGGACTCCCCCTGAAATGAAATCCTGAATTAAAGTGCCACCTCAGACATGGAGCGCCTGAACGAGGCTGCCGATTTGATTGCTGCAGTACAGCCGCTGTTTGGCCACGTCCGAGTGCTGACTGCTATTGAGGGAAAATCAGCAGCTGGCCGGGGATATTAGCCAGAGTTTTGAACACATGCCGGGGCTGACCAAGCATTTTTCTGGTTTATATGAGGGTCTAAATCACAYGGGGAGGGGTTATGATGGCAGATGAGCACTTATACCCTGACAGTTTGCATCCTTAAGAGTGTTTCTAAGCATATCCACCAAAAGCACATGTTCATTTGCAATCTTTTACGACCATGTTTTGTGTATTTTCCACTCCCTCCACTATCAGCAGTCTACACCACGCAGCTCTGCGTCTGTCAGGTAACACGGCTCTAGTTTGCTCTGCTGCTGTCTCTCTAATCCCAGCTGTCATGCAGATTTTCAGCCTCGACTGAAATACTGAACCCTCCACCTCTGCAGCCCCTCTGGCTCTCCTCGCCTCTAACCTCACGGAGGACCGTGAAAACATGCAAAAGTCTGCTCTCTGCTTGCTCGCTTGCACTGTCATGGCTAATCATACAGGCGAAAAAGAAGGGGTGGGGGTGGGGTGAGGGGGAGAGCAAGCTGTGTAAGACTTGGATCGATCCGGGGAAAAAGCATTACACAGGATGGAGGGGGTGTGGGGATGTCTAGCAACTGTGCATATTTTTACTGTTTTTTAATGCCTTAAAGAGTATTTTTCAAGGAATGYAGAGTATTTAGAAATAAGTTGTGTATTTTTAAAAATGATAATTGTTCAAAGTGTTTTACTGCTTTACTTTGTTAGTATTGTGTAACCGCTTTAAAGGCTTATCTAAGAATTATTTTATAATGGCAGCTATTAGGGCAGGAGTCCAAAACATTTCCTCGGTGAGACAAAATACAACATCTGGAATCAGATCGTATTGTATACTACAGTACCATATTTTTCGGACTATAAGCCGCGACTTTTTTCCTGAACTTTGAACCATGCGGCTTATTGACCGGTGCGGCTTATGCATGGATTTTTTTCTTCAGCCACCAGGGGGCTCTTATGCTCCATTTGCTTCAACCACTCGCTTCAAAAAAAAGAAAGAAAAAAAAGAAAAAAAGAAAAAGCGATCGCTTCCAGAGCCGACTGTTGACCGGGAAGCAGCGATTTAAAGATAGTCAATGGTCAAAAACTCATAAAAGGGGATAAAACGGACATTTTTCACGGTGGAATCTGACTGACAAAAACTTTGGAGCTTAATCCAGGACCAGTTTGTGGATAAAAGTCGAGTGAAGAGCTGCTGACTTTTTTTTTCCTCATTGCACTCCCCGGGGAAGGAATCCCATGCAGTGATGTATGCTGGAGCGGGAGGGCTTTCCCACCACAGCTTCAGAGCCAGCATTACCCCGGGAGGACAGCGACACAGAAATCAACACTGAACAGATACCG